ACTGAGGGGTTCAATCCGACCCGTGGAATCCGACAAGGAGACCCTCTCTCTCGCTATATTTTAATGCTTTGTATGGAAAGATTATCTTATGCTATTAATCGACGGGTTGCTAGAGGCGATTGGAAGTAAATCTTCTTGTCGAAGAACAGTCCAGTTATCTCCCACTTATTTTTTGCGGATGATTTAGTTCTTTGTACGGAGCATCAGTAGAACAATCGAAGGTTGTTAAAGAAGTTATGGAGGGTTTTTGTTTGTGTTCCAGCCATCGGGTTAGTATTGCCAAGACTCAAATCCACTTTTCCAAGAATTGTGATTCCGTGTTGAAGGACTTAATTACTCGGAGTTTTGGATTTGAAGAAGTTCAGAACCTTGGAAAATATTTGAGTGTGCCTCTTTTACATGGGCGTGTGACTAAAGCAACGTATCAATACCTCATTGAGAAGGTGGAGAAGCTGTTGTCCGGATGGGCGGCTAAAAATCTATCCCTAGCAGACCGAATTACCTCGGCTAAAGCGGTGTTATAGGCGATTCCCTATTACGCTATCCACATGGTTACCCAAAGGGATTTTCAATAGGTTGGAGCAACTTATCCGGCGTTTTGTGTGTGGAGCGAATGATGAATCCAGGAAGATATCTATGGTTAACTGGGATATGATGCAACTTCTAATTGATGAGGGAAGTTAGGATTCAAGGCTTTGAGGACGTAGAACAAAGCTTTTCTCATGAAGGTTAGGAAACAACTTATTGATGGTATCGATAAGCTCTGGATCAAGGTACTTAAAACACAAATATAAATGGAATGGAGATGTTCCTAATACTATCGGCCGACCATGTTGCTCTTGTTTGTGGAAGGGGTTAAGCTGCATATGGGAGACTATACGATAAAACATAGATTGAAATATTTGTGATGGCTTGAGGACTGATTTTTGGAATGATATTTGGCTGGAGGATATAGGACCCCTCGCTGATCATAGCTTGCTTCCGAAAACACCGCCACCAACGCCGGTGCGTATATTGACTACACCGTTTGAAGATTGGGATTGGTGTTGGTTAAGGTCGTGGGTGCCTGAATGGATATTTTGTCGTATCACTGCTGTTTACCCTCCGAACCGGAGCTTTGGTCTGGATATTCCAGAATGGGGAAGGGAGGTAAGTTGTACCTTTACGGTTCGATCAGCTTACCTTGCTTTGTCTTCATCAACTTATAATCGGGTTAAATTTCCATGGAAGCTCGTGTGGAAGCTCAAGGTGCCACAACATATTAAAACTTTCATTCGGTTAACTCTCCATGGTAAACTGTTGACTAACGTGGAACGATGTCGCCGCCATCTTGCAACGTCGGGGAGGTGCTTGTTGTGCCACGATGGGGATGAAGACATAAGTCATGTTCTTCACAGCTGCAGGTTTGCTCGAAGTATATGTAGTAGGATGATTTTCTAAGATAAACTTTCCTTGTTTCTACGGATGCCTCATGAAGAATGGGTCCTAGCGAATGTTGAGGGCTAAGGCAATTTTTCTTTCATCAATAGCAACTGGAATGTTTTATTTGCAATCATTTGCTGGAAACTATGGAAGAGCCGGTGTAATTTGATGTTTCAACCTGATTATGTCGAGAATGAAGACCTGCTAATTCAGAGTTTTAGACTTCGGAACGACATTATAGCGAGCGAGGAATGTAGTAAGCAGTCTCAAGGTAACGCTCACGTTGCTGGTGGGTGGTGTCGGCCATTAGCGGGTTGGATTAAAGTAAATACTGATGGTGCCGTTGGTGGAGTGGCAAAGATGACATCGGCCGGGGGTGTTCTACGTGATGATCAAGGGGGTTGGATCATGGGTTTTGCCTGTAGTTTAGGTGTGTGCAAGGTCCTTGCGGCGGAGCTGTGGGTCATTCATGATGCCTTGGTCTATGCATGGAATATTAGATTTAAAAAACTTGAGTTTGAATCTGATTGTGCGCAAGTATTGGAGGTTATACATCATAATCGGCCGGAGAATGGGAGTTGGACGGTTATGAGTATGATCCACTCCTTATTGAAACGGAGGTGGCAGATAAAACTAAGTCGTATTAAACGCGAAGCAAATTCTGTTGCTGACAAAATGGCAGCGTTAGCTAGGGGACAAGCTATTGGAACAGTGGTTTTCCAGAACCCTCCGACTGAGGTCGTTTCATTGCTAGATAGGGACATGGATTCTTCTTAACCATGTTTGATCTCGATGTATTACAAAAAAGTAAAGCCGCAAAACAATGAGTACTTATTCAGTTTCATAACCAGCCTTGTCTTTGGATAAAAAAGACATTGGATACCCTCATGCTAAGGATGGATTAAAGGGGATAGATGAAGGTAGTGTTACGTTTGCCTTGTAAATTGTCAAATTTGGCAAGTTGAAAAATTCATCTTTGGTAGGTAGCAAACTTTGCACATGAGAATTTCATCTTGGTTGGTAGCCAACTTATTGGAAATTCATCTTTGGTAGGTGGTGAAATTGTGCACATGGGAATTTTATCCTTGGTCCCTAAAATATTAGGTTATTTATAAGTTTAGTCCTTAAAACTCAACTATAAATAGGCTTAAGTATTTCATTAGAAATCATCCTAAAATAAGTTCTCTCTTCCTCTTGTTTTCTTCATTCTCTCACTTTGGGAATTCTAAAGAATTCCAATTGTTGTAATATTTGTTGATAGTGAAGTTATCATCCGGTGTGGTGCCCGAGGAGTAGACGATATTCTCGTCGAACCTCGTAAATTTGGTATGTTCTCTCTTTTATTGTTCTTTATTCGGTTTTTTTATTGTGTTTCAATATTCAATAGATTGACGGGTTTGTCCGCTATACAACCTTTGGTGATTTTGATCTTGACATTTTAGGTCAATTTTAAAACTACGTTCGTGTGGGAAATAACCCGGTTTCCCCAACAGGTAGTCGCTCCACTGAGAATTTAAAATTACTATATATTTTAGATTTTTTATATATTTTTATTGGAAATCTATTTTCGTCACCTTGAATTTTATAAGTTCGTCACTTCCTAAAATTTTAAAAGTTCACCCCCACATAATTTTTATAAGTTCGGCATGGAGAATCGAAAACCTCCCGATGTTTCGATGAAAACTAGCTAACCAAACGACATTGTTATCTCGATGGACTCCTCCGCCTGTTGCCACCATGGGTCCTTGGTTAATCGTTCCATCGGTGTTGAGCTTTAACACGTCAGCATTGGGTGGTTGCCATTGAGTCCTCTTACCACAGCTACAATTGGTCCCAAGAGGGAGCTTCAGATCGCTAGTGCTCAAGACTACGTTGATAGAATGATGTCCGATGAAGACCATACCTGCTCATTAATAATAAACTTTTTACGTTGTTTCTAAGTTCTCCACATAACAATACCAAACAGGTGTGTCTAATGGCATTCGATACGATCAAGGATCAATTTTTTTATTAAGGTTTGTTTTTATCCAATCGAATAGAGGTGTAGAAAAGAATTCTTGGGTAAGAGAGTTTGGATCGACTGAGATCAAACCATTTGAATATTAGGACAATCGCGAAGAACATGAATGATTGTTTCTTCATTTCTACGTACAAACTGTTGAAATGTCAAAGCTTGGAGAAAATTGGTTCAAGTTAGACACCTAATATTGCAATGTCAAAATTAGGTGCAACAATGTCAAAATTAAGTGCAACAATGTTTGAAAATTAAATGGGTAAATTACAAACTTTAGTCACTAAACTTTAGGGTATTTATAAGATTAGTCCTTAAGTTTCAACTATAAATACCCTAGCTCATTTAGCTTCAAAACTATCCCAAAGCATTCTAGCTTTCTTCCAATACTAGAGAGATTTTAGAGAGTTTCTTGAGAGTTGTTTTCTCCTTTTTATCTAGAGAGAATTATCATTGTTTTCTCCTTGGTAGATCGAGAGAGGTTGTAATTCCTATTTTCTCATAGTGAAATTCTTCTACAGTTGCCCGTGGTTTTTACCCTAAAATTTTAGGGGTTTTCCACGTAAACTTTGTGTCTCTTTTATCTTCATTTTTTATTTTCTCAAATTATCAGTTGTGATTTTACTCTATCCGATAGCCGTCTTTCGCAACAATTGGTATCCGAGCCAGATTGGAGTGTGTAATATCTGCTTATTGTCTTTGTGGTTGCCACCAAAAGGTGGATCCTCCAACATAAGAAAGTAAGAAGGTATTACCCATTCTTTGAAGGTTCCAGAGAACTATTCACGATAGTGAAATAGTGGGAGCTATCCGTAATAGAAGCTATGGCAACGAAATTTGATATTGAAAAGTTCAATGGGAGAAATTTCTCATTGTGGAAATTAAAGATGAAGGCCATCCTGAGGAAAGACGGGTGTCTAGCGGCTATCAATGAAAGGCCGGTGGATTTCACAGATGACATCAAATGGAACGAGATGGATGGAAATGCTATGGCAAACTTTCATCTAGCATTAGCAGATGAAGTATTGTCAAGCATCGAGGAGAAGAAGAGAGCTAAGGAGATATGGGATCATCTCACAAAACTGTACGAGGCCACATCGTTGCACAATAAAATTTTCCTTAAGAGGAAATTGTACACTCTCCGTATGCCAGAATCTACTTCAGTGACGGAGCACTTAAATACACTGAACACATTATTTTCTCAGCTTACATCCTTAAGCTGTAAAATAGGAGAACAAGAACGTGCTGAACTTCTACTTCAAAGTCTACCGGATTCATACGATCAACTCATCATCAATTTGACAAACAGTAATGTCACCAGTTTAGTCTTCGATGATGTTGCAGCTGCTGTTCTATAAGAAGAAAATCGGCGCAAGAACAAGGAAGACAGACAAGTAAATCTGCAACAAGCAGAAGCGTTGACAACGATGACAACGATGAGAGGAAGATTAACAGAACGTGGCCAAAGCAGCAGTCACAAACATGGTAGATCGAAGTCGGGGAGCAAGAAGAATTTAAAGTGTTACAACTGTGGAAAGAAGGGTCACTTGAAGAAGGATTGTTGGAGTCTAAATAAAAACTCCAATCCACAAGGCAATACCGCAAACACTTCAGATGATGGAGATGCTCTATGTTGTGAAGCATCAACCACCGTAGAAGGAAGAAAACGATTTGCAGATATATGGCTCATTGATTCGGGAGCAACTTATCACATGACCTCAAGAAGAGAATGGTTCCATCATTATGAACCTGTCTCAGGAGGATCTGTTTATAATTGCAATGATCATGCCTTAGAGATCGTTGGCGTGGGAACCATCAAATTGAAGATGTATGATGGAACAATTAAAGTTGTTCGAGATGTGCGGCACGTGAAAGGCCTGAAGAAAAATTTATTATCCTACGGATTGTTGGATAATAATGCAAGCAAGATTGAAACAAGGAAAGGAATCATGAAGGTGTTCCGTGGAGCGCTTGTGGTGCTGAAAGGTGAAAAGATAACTGCAAACTTGTACATGCTGAAGGGAGAGACTTTGGTAGAAGCAGAAGCCTCTGTTGCCTCATGTAGTTCAGATTCGGCAATGCTATGGCATCAGAAACTTGGACACATGTCAGAACAAGGAATAAAAGTCCTTATGAAGCAAAAGCTACCTCCAGGCTTAACAAAGGTATCACTTCCTTTGTGTGAGCATTGCATAACAAGTAAGCAGCACCGGCTGAAATTCAACACATCAAATTCTAGAGGCAAAATTTTTCTAGAATTGGTTCACTCTGAAGTATGGCAAGCACCAGTTACATCCCTAGGTGGAGCAAAATACTTTGTCCCATTTATTGATGACTACTCCAGGAGATGTTGGGTGTACCCTATTAAGAAGAAGTCATATGTGTTTTCCACTTTCAAAAACTTCAAAGTGCGGGTGGAACTTGATTCTGTAAATAAGATCAAGTGTTTTAGAACAGATAATGGAGGAGAATACACAAGCGAAGAATTTGATGACTTTTGCAGGAAAGAAGGCATCAAAAGACAGTTCACAGTGGCGAACACTCCTCAACAAAATGGAGTGGCAGAGCGGATGAACAGAACCTTGTTAGAAAGAACAAGAGCAATGTTGAGGGATGCATGCCTAGAAAAATAATTCTGGGCAGAAGCAGTCAATACCGCCTGTTATTTGGTGAATCGAGCTCCATCAACTGCAATAGAGCTGAAGACACCAATGGAGACGTGGACTGGTAAACCTGCTGATTATTCAAACCTCCATGTATTTGGAAGTATTGTGTACGTGATGTACAACTCCCAAGAAATCTCAAAGCTGGATCCAAAATCCAGGAAATGCAAATTCTTGGGGTATGCTGATGGAGTCAAAGAGTATCGCTTGTGGGATCCCACTGCCCGTAAAGTGATCATCAGCAGGGATGTTATCTTTGTAGAAGATAAACTACAAAGAAAAGAAGACAATGATAGCACTGAAAAGTCAGAGACTACACAGATACATGTGGAAAAGGATGTTGAACAAGGAGATTCTTCTGAAGCAGAACCAGCACATGATGAACAAGAACCAGAGAGTTCTGAAGCTCCAACAACTCGTCAATCAGATCATATGAGAAGGCGTCCCAATTGACACTCAGATTATGTTATAGAAGGTAATATTGCATACTGCCTTTTAACAGAGGACGGTGAGCCATCAACATACCAGGAGGCAATAAACAGCTCAGATGCTTCACTGTGGATGATGGCAATGCAAGAAGAAATCGAAGCCCTTCATAAAACTAATACATGGGACCTTGTGCCACTACCACAATGAAGGAAGCCAATTGGTAACAAATGGGTCTTCAAAATCAAGCGAAATGTTGACGATCAAGTGGAGAGGTACCGTGCAAGACTGGTTGTCAAAGGATATGCTCAAAAAGAATGTATTGATTTCAATGAAATTTTTTCTCCTGTGGTTCGACTAACAACAGTTCGAGTACTCTTGGCAATGTGTGCTACATTGAACTTACATCTAGAGCAGCTAGATGTTAAAACAGCTTTTCTTCATGGAAATCTTGAAGAAGAGATTTACATGCTCCGCCTAAAGGTTTTGAAGAAAAAGAAAAGAAGAACTTGGTTTGCAGGTTGAACAAATCTCTGTATGGTCTAAAGCAGGCGCCGAGGTGTTGGTATAAGAGATTTGATTCCTTCATTATGTGTCTTGGATACAACAGACTTAATGCAGACCCTTGTGCTTATTTCAAGAGGTCTGGTGATAACGATTTTGTTATATTGTTGTTGTATGTGGATGACATGTTGGTTGCAGGACCCAACAAAGATCATATTGAAGAATTAAAGGCACAACTGGCTAGGGAATTTGAAATGAAGGACTTGAGATCAACAAACAAGATTCTAGGGATGCAAATTCACCGAGACAGAAGTAATAGGAAGATTTGGCTTTCACAAAAGAATTACTTGAAGAAGATCTTGTCACGATTCAACATGCAAGATTGTAAGCAAATTTCTACCCCTCTTCCTATTAACTTCAAATTATCCTCCAGTATGAGTCCTAGCAGTGAAGAAGAGAGGATGGAGATGTCTCGAGTACCGTATGCATCAGCAGTGGGAAGTTTAATGTTCGCTATGATATGCACAAGACCAGACATTGCACAAGCAGTGGGAGTGGTTAGTCGGTACATGGCGAATCCAGGCAAAGAGCATTGGAATACAGTAAAGAGGATCCTGAGATACATCAAAGGGACCTCAAATATTGCATTATGTTACGGAGGATCAAACTTACTAATCAATGGGTATGTAGATTCTGACTATGCAGGGGATTTGGATAAAAGCAAATCTATAACAGGATATGTGTTCAAAATTGCTGGTGGAGCTGTAAGCTGGGTTTCAAAATTGTAGTCAGTTGTGGCTACATCCACAACAGAAGCAGAATATGTAGCAGCTACACAAGCCAGTAAAGAAGCAATTTGGTTGAAGATATTATTGGAGGAGCTTGGGCACAATCAAGAGTATGTCTCTCTGTTTTGTGACAGTCAAAGCGCCTTGCATCTAGCAAGGAATCCAGCATTTCATTCAAGGACAAAGCACATACGAGTTCAGTACCATTTCATTCGTGAAAAGGTGGAAGAAGGGACAGTAGATATGCAGAAGATCCATACCAAAGACAACATAGCAGATTTCATGACGAAGGCAATCAACACTGATAAATTTACTTGGTGTCGATCCTCTTGTGGCCTGTCAGAGACGTAAGCAACATGATGGTACAAGGTAGAAAGAATGGTGTGAAGATATGATTGTTCCAATCAAATCTTCAAGTGGGAGATTGTTGAAATGTCAAAGCTTGGAGAAAATTGGTTCAAGTTAGGCACCTAATATTGCAATGTCAAAATTAGGTGCAACAATGTTTGAAAATTAAATGGGTAAATTACAAACTTTAGTCACTAAACTTTAGGGTATTTATAAGATTAGTCCTTAAGTTTCAACTATAAATACCCTAGCTCATTTAGCTTCAAAACTATCCCAAAGCATTCTAGCTTTCTTCCAATACTAGAGAGATTTTAGAGAGTTTCTTGAGAGTTGTTTTCTCCTTTTTATCTAGAGAGAATTATCATTGTTTTCTCCTTGGTAGATCGAGAGAGGTTGTAATTCCTATTTTCTCATAGTGAAATTCTTCTACCGTTGCCCGTGGTTTTTACCCTAAAATTTTAGGGGTTTTCCACGTAAACTTTGTGTCTCTTTTATCTTCATTTTTTATTTTCTCAAATTATCAGTTGCGATTTTGCTCTATCCGATAGCCGTCTTTCGCAACACAAACCAGCATGATGATCTGTCGTAAGCCTTTGTATGGTGTGCTTATGATTAGTCATTAAACGATTGCGAAGCACGAACCAAATATTGCCTCACTCGCTAAGGACAAATAAAATCCCAAGCAAGATATCAAGTGTTATTTTGATTGTTCCGAGAACACCTCTGAAGCTCACAGAAGGCAGATTTTACCGTAAAAGTTCATGTATGATCCCATCGCCAAGTCAAAAAGTCCTCACCCACACCATTGTTGTTAATGCTCAGAAATAAAACATTTTTAATGCTATTGAATGTAATGACGTTTTTGCTCTCACTATCTAGCTTATAAATAATCGGCAAGTCTTTTTCATTTGATCTCTCTCAAGCAAATATTTACTTTGAATTCAACACTAGCTTTCTTCTTATTATTTTCGTGACTTTTCTGAGTTCTAATTTTAAGTTTAGAGAGAAGATGGTACACAAAAGTCCATTCCATTTTTTTTTGGTGTATAAAAAATTTAGAGTCTTACCAATCTCAGTGGTTTATTCGTCTATTATATCGATTACACTCATTGGGGCGAATTCGGTTATATGGTAATAGTTAATACCACGACACAATTGATCAATTCTTTGTTTATTATTTTTAATTATTCAATCAGTACTAATACCTTATTTTGCAACAGTCAATTTTTATAACAATCACATTTAGGATGTATCGCCATGATCCGCTGAACAATCCCTTCATTTAACGCTTGTCTCAAGCGGTGAATGTTCCAACTTTCATCATTTGTAACGTAGTCGCGCACCACCAGTTGGGGATCGAGAATGCGGTCATGAGAGATTAATTCAGCAATATGTTTCATCATCGGAATCCAAGCCACATACCTGAATTCGGTTCTTCTTCCATCGTAAATAGACCAACAGACGTTACGGAAGAATGTCCAAACATGAGGAACGGATCTCCAAAAGAAAGAATAATTCCGAGTCACCACCTGTCCTAGCATGAGTTCATTCATTTTAAATTTTAAACTAAGAATCCGAACGCAAAATGCTTTGGGATGTATCAATAAGTATACTCCAACAGTCCAACTTAACAAGGAACCCTTCGTTTTGTATTCTCAGCAGTCGAATACCAAGCCACCGTTACAGAGAGATTGCAACACGTTTTTCGGTTGACAAGAGCAAGCTTCGGGGCTTCTCTAGATCCACCAGGACAAATGTACGTTATAGGTAGGAGGGGCAATTGCCCTTCCCAACTTTGATGGTCTAATTATATTTTTAGGTCGCTCATAATTTTAAAACCATGGTGGAGTTGATGAAAAATATTAGGGTTGTACAGTTTTAGCATGTTCCTCGTTATGCAGTGATGAGCTCAAACTTAGGAGAGGCCGCCTCTAAAAATTTAAAACTATCATATATTTTAAAATTTTCTATACATTTTTTATTGAAAATCTATTTTTTCCCCTTCAATTTTATAAGTTGAAGTCCACCTTACCGACATGGGAATAAAGTAGCCGATTACTTAATGAAAATGACTGATCAAAGCACTCTTAAGTGTGTTTAGTGGTTAGTTCCACCGGAGATGGCTTTGTCTTTGTTGCACGAGGATCAATCTCGGAATGAGAACCAGTCATGGTTGTTGCGTTTTAAACAGCTTATCTCATGCCTTTACCCAAAAAAATACAATTTTGATCATTTTGATCTAAATTAATATTAACTTTATTAATTACAAAATTTATCAAATTTTATAATCAAATCATTCAATTTATTAAATTCTACAATCAAATCATTTAATTTATCAAATTTTATAATCAAATCACTCAATTGCAACTAAAAAATCAGTATCTATTTTGCACTTAACAAACCGAGTATCAATTAATTATTTGAATAACTCATTTATATCTTTTTGAAATCCAATGGCCCATTTTTTATCTTCCTAATAATTTAGTGATGTATGATGAAATTTAACCATTTTATAAGCTATGCCTGGCGGTGTTCGTATATCTGGGCAAAAAGCTACGGAACTCGCAAGCAACACATAAAAATTTCCCAGAAACCGAATGAATTATAGTCACCCATAGACGCGAAACCGCGGAGAAGCATAGCAGATTGCCTAGAAAGTGACCGGAATTTTGATGTTAGAGAACAAAATATCCCACACAGAAAATAAATAAAAAAACTGAAATGTGTGAAGTTCGGTAAGCAGATTGATCGACAAAGAACGATAACCGGCCAGTTAACTTCACAGCCATTTGATTTCAATATCGCTACAGCCGCATTGGCAAGACAAGATCAAGGGTACTGGTTTGATTTAAGCCCTTTATCTTGGTACATGTAGCTTCAACGATCATCGTTTCTCTTCTTCTTTAAGCATAGAAAAATTATGACAATCGAGTGGTGACTTTTATGTGCGAAAACGACGACTACATATATCAGAAGAGAAACCGATAGCATAGAGATCGAAGGATATGGATTGGCCGCTACTGCCTTTGTGAAAACCCTATTATTGATATATGTTTATATAGGGAAAAGCTAACGCCAGTGGAGAGATCTCGGCCGTATATCTATAGGGGATCTGGATGTGATTTACATTTTGGTCGGTTTTGCCCTTTTCAGTTATTGTTCTCTCAATCTCATCCTTTCCAATAAAATAAGGAACATAAAAATCCCCCTTTTATGTATTTGTACATTCATTTACGTAGTCTACTAGAACAAGTTGATAGTACAAATACAATTATAATTATAAAAGTTTAAATTTTATAAAAAAAGTCTAGATATATTTTAAAAGTAATAATTGTAATAAAAATAAATTAAATTTTTATTAATTGTAATACGAATTTTAAAAGTTCATGACGCAATTAAAAAGCACACTATTATCCAATAATTTTTTAAAATTACGAAATCAATGAGCAAAATACACTCGTGTATGGTTTTTTTTTTCCTGGCTCAATAGAGCAATCCCAAAAAAATTTATAAAATAAGATTAACACTTTTATTTTGGGATCCATGATATTTTTTTATAGTGTATAGAACTTATCATGTCAAAGTGACAAATTTTAATAAAAAAATATTTTGTATTCAAACTTTTATTTCAATGTGATAAAATTTAATAAAAAAATATTTTATTAAAATTTATCAACTCAAATTGATGAATTTAAATAAAAAATATTTTTTATAAATTCTAAATCTATTATAATATTTATTATATTCTCCAAAATAAAAACTTGGGTGTAAAAAAAACCCCTCGTTTATGGGTTCTGATTCGCCCTTTAAAGTTGCAACCCGGAGCATAAATCCGACCCGAACTCTATCAACATAATATCACCCCAAAAAAAAGGGGCGGAAGATCTTAAGAGACAGAAAAATAAAGAAAAATTCTCTTTAACATAGAGCCGAGTCACAGGCTCAAAGCGAATACGATACCGATCTGACGCGAAAGAGTCAATGGAAGGAGTGCTGGCTAGATTCGGGCGGTCCTCCACCCGGTACGGACCAGCCACGGTGTTCACTGGGCCGGTCAGGAAATGGAAGAAGAAATGGGTCCACGTTTCCCCATCTAACACCGGCAACAGCAATAACAATAATCCCTCTCAAAATAAAAATAATAATCACCACAGCACCAACGGTATTTCTAACGGTAATAACGGCTCTCATCTCGTGCTTTTTAAATGGACCCCTTTATCACAAAGCCAAAACAACTACAGTAGCACCAACTATTCTTCCATGGAAGATGATGTGGCGACGCCCGGTGAGCCTCCGAGGCGGAAATTTAAATACATCCCGGTATTCTCTTCCTTGGGTTTCCATAAATTTCGAATTTTTGTTCTCATTTTACTTTGTTTTTACTGAATTCTGTTTCTTGGTGTTTTTTTTTTTTGCTGGGAATTAGGATTTGATTTGGCTGTGTCTTTTGTATAATTGGTTGATCTATTAGCTGGGTTTTGGTTTGATAATGCTCCGTGTTTCTTCAAGGGAACTATGAGTTGGCTTGTTGTTTACTGCTTTAATGCGTGTGGAAAGAAGACGTAAATGGTTATTAAGGGAATGTTATTGATAAATGACTGAAAATTTAGCATATGAATGTTTGTATTGTTGTTCGCTACTATGTTACTCGAATTTAGGCGAGAGTATCCAATTTGGATATGTATTTGGCACGAGTACATTTAGATTTTTCCAAGTTCTTCCAAATACCGGGAAGACATATCCTCGAATCCATGTGTCAAACATGTGTATTTCAAGAAGAATGAAGAGTCTGAGCAACATATGAAGAGTTTAAGCAATCGGTTCACTATAGTTTGGCATGGCCTTGATGCATTGGAGTTTCCATTTCTGCTTCACTTTTGTCATAATTTCTTCCTAGAACCATAGCTTGCTTATAAGCTAAACTTTAATTAGATTGCTAATTTTGAAAATTATGTATAAGGGTACAAAGTTGAGCTTCTTGCCATCCTTATATTCTAGACCGAGTCCGAGGTCTGGAAAGCTTTTGAAACCAATAATATGATGATGATGATGGAACTGTTGGAGACCGAGACTGGAATCTCATTTCTTTTTATTCTGACTAATCAAACTTTAATGGCACCATATGCAGTTGCTTTAAGTTGAACACAGTTGTTGTAAAGCTTACACCTATCTGATCTAATCTAGTATGTGAAATTATAGGAGCTGAACTCTTTTAAATTCACGTTGTACGAGTTGTTGTTTTTGTTGAAATTGTATTGCTTGTTATGGGCATGATAATGTCTCTCTGCTTTTGTTCATATCAATCACCGAGAATGGGTGCTTTTGTCTTCCTATTGTGATTTCTTTTTAAGTTTTGGATTGGATAATCCGAATATACTAACATTCACAGGTTTGTCAAACTGCTTTGTATAACAATTCTAGGTGGAAATAAATTCTAAGATCAGTTCAAATTGTTAGATTGTTTACTTATTTTGACTTTTTGAACATTTAGATTGCCGTGCTAGAGGAACAGAACAAGGAAGCTACTGAAAACATTGATGATGAAACTAAACCGAGTGAGGATGACCCTAGTGCTGCAGAGACTGTTAGATTTGGCTTGAAATTAAGTTGGCAAGTTGAAAATTTTTCTTGGTTGGTGGCCAATTTATTGGAAATTTCATCTTGGTTGGTGGTCAAACTTCGAATATGAGAATTTCATATTTAGTGGCTAACTTGTACCCATTGGAAAATTTTTTGGTAGGTGACCAACTTATTTTTCATGTTTGATCCCTAAAATATTAGGTTATTTATAAGTTTAGTCCTTAAAACTCAACTATAAATAGACCTAAGTATTTCATTAAAATCATCCCAAAACAAGTTCTCTCTTCCTCTTGTATTCTTCATTCTCCCACTTTGGGAATTCTAAAGAATTACATTTGTTGTAATATTGGCGATATAGTGAAGTTATCATCCGGTGTGGTGCTCGAGGAGTAGACGATATTCTCGTCGAACCTCGTAAATTTGGTATGTTCTCTCATTTATTGTTTTTATTCGGTTTTTTCCACTGTGTTTCAATATTCAATAGTTTGATAGGTTTATTCGCTGTGCAACCTTTGGTGGTTTTGATCTTGACATTTTAGGTCAATTTTGAAACTACGTTCGTGTGGGAAATAACCTGATTTCCCCAACAATTGGTATCAGAGCTTCAGTTGATGTTATCCTGGTGGTTTCACTGCTGAAAAAATACAGTTCGTGCTATTGAATATTGTTCATTGGAATTAAAATACCAAAATACAGATCAGTTGAGACATCAAGCTCTTTATCCGGACCGGTGAGGAGGAGGATGTCAAATACAAATTTCTCGGTGGAGTTGTTCGATGGATCCGGTCAATTTGCCATGTGGCAAGTCGAGGTGTAAGACGTTTTATTCCAACAAGGTCTAAACATCGCCATTGAGAAAGAAAAATCCGAATATATGGAGGAGAAAGAATGGGGAACAATCAATCGTTTGGCGTGCAGCACGATTCGATCTTGTCTTTTCAGGGAGCAGAAGTATGGCTACAAGAACGAGACTTCTGCAAGTAAGATGTGGAAAGTATTGGAGGAAAAAATTCTAAAGAAAAGTTCTCAAAATCGTCTCCACATGAAGAAAATATTGTTCAGATTTGATTATCAACCAGGCACCAGTATGAATGAACACATCACTGCGTTCAATGAGCTAGAAGCAGACTTATTGGGTATGGATGAAACCTTCAAAGATGAAGATTTGGCCTTGATGTTGTTGTCATCTCTTCCAGATGAATTTGAGCACCTTGAGACAACGTTACTTCATGGTAATGATAATGTTACCCTTAAAGATGTAACTGATGCTTTGTATAATTATGAGCTCAGGAAGAAAACCAAGAAGGAGAGCAAGTACGAAGCAGCGAAGGCCATGGTGGCAAGAGGTCGCTCGAAAAGTCAAAAGCCAAAGTGGAGAGGGAGAACAAAGTCGAAGTCCAGACTGAGAAAAGATGAATGTGCCTTTTGTCATGAGAAATGCCATTGGAAGAAAGATTGTCCGAAGCTGAAGAAGAAATGAAAAGTTGCTCCAGATGCATGTGTTGCAGAGCATGATGCAAATGACTCTGACATATCATTGGTTACTTCATCAACAACATTCCATTCAGATGAATGGATATTAGATTCGGGTTGCACCTATCATATGTCCCCTAATCGGGGAGTGGTTCTCCGATTTAGTAGAACTAAATGCATGAGTTGTTTATAAGGGCAATGACAATACATGTAAAACTTTTGGGATAAGTTCAATTCGATTGAAGAATCAAGATAGATCAACCAGAGTTTTGACGGATGTCCGATACGTGCCTAGTTTGAAGAAAAATCTCATCTCATTGGGAGCCTTGGAATCCAAATGCTCAGTAGTCACTATGAGAGATGGAGTTTTAAAAGTCACATATGGCGCACTTGTGATGATAAAGGGCATCAGGAAAAATAATTTGTATTACTATCAAGGAAGTACAATTATTAGAGCAGTTGCAACAGCTTCCGGATGTGATGATTTGGACGCAACCTAGTTGTGGCATATGCGGTTGGGACATACTGGAGAAAAATCCTTGCAAATTCTAGCAAAGAAAGGATTGTTGAAAGGTGCAAAGGCTTGCAAATTGAACTTTTACGAGCATTGTGTCCTAGGAAAGCAGAAGAGAGTGAAGTTTGACACCACTATACATAATACAAAAGGTATTGTGGATAATATTCACTCAGATGTATGGGGTCCTTTAAAGACATCGTCTTTGGGAGGAAATCATTATTTTGTAACTTTTGTAGATGACTTTTCCAGAAGAGTTTAGGTGTTTCAGATGAAGTCTAAAGATGAAGTGCTTCAAATTTTCCTGAAATGGAAAAATATGATCGAGAACCAGACTGGTAGAAAGATCAAACGTCTTAGGACGAACAATGGAGGGGAATGTAAAAGTGACCCATTCTTTAACGTTTGCCATGAGTATGGTATTGTTGGAAACTTCATTGTTAGAAATACACCACAACAGAATGGGATGGCAGAGCGTATGAATCGAAGACTATTGGAGAAAGTTCGATGTATATTGTCTAATGCTGGGTTAGGCAAGGCATTTTGGACTGAGGCTGTGACATATGCTGGCCATCTCATCAATCGTCTACCGTCATCAGCGATAGGAGGAAAAACACCATTGGAGGTATGGTCTGGAAAATCTGCTATTGATTATGATTCCTTACATGTATTTGGATCCACTGCCTATTATCATGTGAAGGAATCTAAGCTTGATCCGAGAGCAAAGAAGGCTCTCTTTATGGGAATCACCCATGGAGTGAAGGGATTCCGCCTTTGGTGTTTAGACACCAAGAAGATAATTTGTAGCAGAGATGTTACCTTTAATGAATCTGCCCTAGTAAAGAAGGTAACAAATGAAGTTGTCTAGACAAGTAGTACTCCGCAGCAGGTGGAGCATACTCCAAAACAGGTAGAGTTTCAGCAGACGATGATCCCAGAAGTTGATGCAGCTGATTCTTCAACTCCAATAAAAGAATCAGAAGAAGAAGAGGTTCAAACCAAAGAACCATTGGAGACACCAGAACCACTTGCAGTTACAAGGCCAAGGAGAGAAATTTGTAGACCTTCTCGATTTGTTGATATGGTGGCCTATGCTCTTCCAGTTGTTGATGATGATATCCCTGTCACTTACCAAGAATAAATACAAAGCTTGGAAAGTGATAAGTGGAAAAGTGTCATGGATGAAGAAATGTAATCTCTCCAAAAGAACAACACTTGGAAACTGGCTCAATTACCGAAAGGTAAAAGAGCAATTGTATGCAAGTTGGGTATTTGCAAAGAAAGATGGATCTCATAGCAAGAAAGATGTTCACTACAAGGTACGGTTGGTAGCTAAAGGCTACGCTCAAAAGGAGGGAATCGACTACAATAAAGTATTTTCCCCTATTGTGAAGCATTCCTCTATTAGAATATTGTTGGCCTTGGTAGCACAGTTGAATTTGGAGCTAGCTCAACTTGATGTAAAGATGACTTTTTTGCACGATAATTTAGAAGAGGAGATCTATATGACTCAGCCAGAAGGATACAAAGATGGTGGTCATGACAAATGGGTTTGTAAGCTGAACAAATCGCTATATGGATTGAAGCAATCTCTGAGGCAGTGGTACAAGCGATTTGATAGCTTTATGAGGAGGCAAAAGTAAAATAGAAGCAAATATGATCATTGTGTGTATTTGTAAAAGCTCAAAGATGGATCTTTCATTTATCTTCTCTTGTACGTTGACGATATGTTGATCGCTTCGAATAGTCAAAAGGAGATAGACAAATTAAAGGGTCAATTGAATCAAGAGTTTGAGATAAAAGATCTAGGTGAGGCCAAGAAGATTCTTGGTATGGAGATAAGCAGAAATAGACAGAGAGGGAAGCTTTGTTTAACACAAAAGCAGTATCTGAGAAAGGTATTACACTGTTTTGGCATGAATAAAAATACCAAACATGTAAGTATCCCATTGGCTTCTCATTTGAAACTTAGTTCTCAATTATCTCCTAAAATTAACGAAGAACGAGAGTATATGGCAAAAGTTCCATATGCTAATGCAGTTGGGAGCTTGATGTATGCAATGGTGTGTATGCGTCCTGACATTTCACAAGCTGTTGGAGTTGTGAGCAGGTACATGCATGATCCTGGAGAAGGACATTGGCAAGCTATGAAATGGATTCTACGGTATCTCCAACAAACCGTGGATGTTGGTTTAGTTTTTGAACATAATGAAGCTCTTGGTCAGTGTGTGGTTGGATATGCTGATTCTAATTATGCTGGTGATTTGGATAAGCGTCGATCAACTACTGGGTATTTGTTTACTCTTGCTAAAGCCCCAGTAAGTTGGAAGTCTACATTGCAATCTACGGTGGCGTTATCTACTACAGAGGCAGAATACATGGCAGTTTCAGAGGCTGTAAAGGAAACAATTTGGCTTAACGGGTTGATGGAAGACTTGGGAGTTGTTCAAAGTCACATTAGTCTCTATTGTGAGAGTCAGAGCGTTATTCACTTAGTGAAAAATCAAGTCTACCATTCAAGGACTAAGCATATCGACGTGAGGTATCACTTTGTGCGGGAGATCTTTGAAGAATGAAATATTCTACTTCAAAAAATTGCGACATCAGAAAATCCTGCAGATATGATGACCAATGTGGTAACAGTAATCAAATCCAATCATTGTTTGAACTTGATTAACATCCTGAAAGTATGAACATCTTCGGGTATGTGGCACTTGTGAGCGCAATTAGAGGCACTACAAATTTGTGGAGTTGAAGAAGTTGAGTAGGCTTGGTAATTTCAAACCAAGGTGGAGTTTGTTAGATTTGACTTGAAATTAAGTTGGCAAGTTGGAAATTTCATCTTGATTGGTGGCCAACTTATTGGAAATTTCATCTTGGTTGGTGGCCAAACTTTGAATATGAGAATTTCATATTTAGTGGCTAACTTGTACACATTGGAAAATTCTTTGGTAGGTGGCCAACTTATTTTTCATGTTTGATCCCTAAAATATTATGTTATTTATAAGTTTAGTCCT